ACTGTGTCATTTCCAATTCAAATATTTCACTCTGTATGAATATTTGCATGATCAGATACAGGGCTAGTTCAGGCATTGTTGACAGCACCTAACCACCATCACATTGTACCAGTTCGATGTTTAAAGGCGTTTCACAGGAAATCTGAAGAGGCGGTTGTCATGCAGTGTTTCTTCTTCAGTGTAATTAAGGGTATTTTTGGGTCAACCAGATCTAATTGAAAAACATCTTTACCAATCATTTCTGTCATTAATTCTTCACTTTCGGTTTACAATACCCACTCTGTTTTTACCCCGTATTTTTTGTTTCAAATCACTGAAATATATATATATACAAATATGTCACCTTTGCTGGGTACCTTTCTGTCTATAGTGGATTCTTTGCTTTGAAATGCAAGCAAAATAGTTCTCTATGAACAACTGTTTTATTCTGAAGTAATCAAAGCCACTACAATTGATCACAGATGGATGCCAATTATCTTGAATTGTAAACTGGAATGTGGTTGGTTATATCTCATTAAGTTTGTAATTGCTATTCTAGGAGGGTGTTCCCGGCCATACTACTGACACATCTAATAACATAACCGTTTTGGGTATAATGGTTACAATATAATAACACAATGGTTATAATGGGGGCAATTATTCAATTTCTAATTGATAATAATAACAATAGCATGCTGTCCTCTGTTGAAAGTGAACATGTGGAGTTGGCTGCTTATCTGGAAAATCAATAGAAACTGTGGTACAGTCAACTATTATATAACACTGAACTATAGCCTAGAAGTCAACCACAGGTGTGCACGCACGCACGCACGCACGCACACACACACACACACACACACACACACACACACACACACACACACACACACACACACACACACACACACACACACACACAACACACACACCACACACACACGCTAGTCATTTCCAAAAAATCTGTCAAGTGTCTAAATACTGTCGCAATTTGGCTCCACAAGACCACACGAACTACTGTACTCTACAGTAGTTCTACTCTACAGTACTGGCTACATGACTCACTACAGTACTGGCTTCATGACTCACTACAGTACTGGCTACATGACTCACTACAGTACTGGCTACATGACTCACTACAGTACTGGCTACAGGACTCACTACAGTACTGGCTACATGACTCACTACAGTACTGGCTACAGGACTCACTACAGTACTGGCTACATGACTCACTACAGTACTGGCTACATGACTCACTACAGTACTGGCTACATGACTCACTACAGTACTGGCTACAGGACTCACTACAGTACTGGCTACAGGACTCACTACAGTACTGGCTACATGACTCACTACAGTACTGGCTACATGACTCACTACAGTACTGGCTACAGGACTCACTACAGTACTGGCTACAGGACTCACTACAGTACTGGCTACATGACTCACTACAGTACTGGCTACATGACTCACTACAGTACTGGCTACAGGACTCACTACAGTACTGGCTACAGGACTCACTACAGTACTGGCTACATGACTCACTACAGTACTGGCTACATGACTCACTACAGTACTGGCTACATGACTCACTACAGTACTGGCTACATGACTCACTACAGTACTGGCTACATGACTCACTAAAGTACTGGCTACATGACTCACTACAGTACTGGCTACATGACACACTGCATTGGGATTGCTGGCTAGAAAATTCAAATGCTACATGAAACAAATTTGTTTGATCTCATTTTAAAAAGTTGACATTCAAATGAAACTAATTATACCATCTCAGTGCACCGTACAGTAATATGAAAAAATCTGTCAAGTGTCTAAATACTGTCGCAATTTGGCTCCACAAGACCACACGAACTACTGGCCCCATTTGTGAAGAAATATTGTCAAAAAAAATCAAGAAATGCTAAATTATAATGGTGCTTTCATTTTATAATCACTGGGTCAAAAGGTAAAGTAGATAATTGTCAATTTTCACTAATTGTTCAACTTAGATTTGGCTTTTGCTTTTCAGCCAGAATATAATGATCTCTCAGGGAGTCGATATGATAGCTGGGTTTCTCTACAAAACAGGGATTCAAACAGACAACCTTTTGGTTAATGTTCAGATGCTCTAAGCCACTTGTGCAGACGGGTGGTGTGTTTCTACAGACGGGTGGTGTGTTTCTACAGACAGGTGGGGTTGTGTAAAGCACAGCTGTGTTTCTGGATAATATCCACTAATAGACCTGGGAGACTTTGCACTGTGAACTTGTTTTGCAGATTCCTGAGGACAGTGCAATCCTTAATCTCAGCGGGCATCTGTAACAGCAGGATCCAATACCTGTCAGACAGCAGTCCACTACGCACCCATAAACCACAAGGACCCCCAGCGTTACTTATTGACTGGCAGACCGGGCCGGGGGCCAGAGTAGAAACAAGAGTTACTTCCACTTTGGTTATCCTCTCACGGCAGTTTAATTATGGCTGACCGGAGATGGTGACTTCTGACAAACTCGACTCCTGCAGAAAAGGAGACAGACCGAATGTCATTGAAATCTGTCCATTTAACACTCCACATCTAGTTCTGGCCCGGTTTGCTATATGACATCGAGCCGGTTGCAGCACCTCAGAAATGGACGCTCTTGTGGGCTTCTCAAACACAGAAGAGTCTAGGGGTATTTCAGAGAATGTGGCGACAAAAGAATCAAGATGAGTGTGACTGACCGAGAATGGCAGGAATTGTGCCGGCTACAGTATCACAATGCACCAATACAAGAAAGAAGACCAGAATGGTGCAATGAAACAGTCAGTCCTTGTCACTGATGGGCTGCTGCAACAGACAGCCACTCCAGGTTATAACGAAACAGAAAGCAGAGGCAGCAGCTCTTGGTGATTCCATTGACATCAGACAACAGTGGAGCGGAAACATAATGAGATCCTGTGAATGCTGCTGTGTCATACTAACGGCAGATCCTGAGAATCCTGTTGTGTCATACTAACGGCAGATCCTGAGAATCCTGTTGTGTCATACTAACGGCAGATCCTGAGAATCCTGCTGTGTCATACTAACGGCAGATCCTGAGAATCCTGTTGTGTCATACTAACGGCAGATCCTGAGAATCTTGCTGTGTCATAGTAACGGCAGATCCTGTGAATCCTGTTGTGTCATACTAACGGCAGATCCTGAGAATCCTGTTGTGTCATACTAACGGCAGATCCTGAGAATCCTGTTGTGTCATACTAACGGCAGATCCTGAGAATCCTGTTGTGTCATACTAACGGCAGATCCTGAGAATCCTGTTGTGTCATACTAACGGCAGATCCTGTGAATCCTGCTGTGTCATACTAACGGCAGATCCTGTGAATCCTGTTGTGTCATACTAACGGCAGATCCTGTGAATCCTGCTGTGTCATACTAACGGCAGATCCTGAGAATCCTGTTGTGTCATACTAACGGCAGATCCTGCGAATCCTGCTGTGTCATACTAACGGCAGATCCTGTGAATCCTGCTGTGTCATACTAACGGCAGATCCTGTGAATCCTGCTGTGTCATACTAACGGCAGATCCTGTGAATCCTGCTGTGTCATACTAACGGCAGGTCTAAACATTGCTGCAAACCAGGTGCATCTCTTTATGGCCATAGTTTATTCATTGTTGTCTGGAAAATTCCAACCTGTGACACAGGAACAAAATAGCGAAGCCTGTTTAAGTAAGCTGTGTAGTTCCTGGACCTTTCACCAGCATCTTAGAGCTGTGAAGGAACTGGTTGATCAAATGAATCGACTGAAATACAGATTGTAGCAACTTCTTCATGTTACCAAATCAGCATGTTTCCCTGTGGATGGTTTCCCGGTCGTATCCATCCCCAGATGGGTGGACCTAATAAACTGGCTACGCATCGTTATGCTACCGCTAGCCTAGCGACAACTGCTTCCTTGTTCCCACTCATGTCCGGCACAGACCAAGGACCTCTGCTTTACAAACCCACCGTGACAACCTGAACCAGTTCAGCCCCACAGATCTCCAGCCACCACCTAAACCAGTTCAGCCCCACAGATCTCCAGCCACAACCTGAACCAGTTCAGCCCCACAGATCTCCAGCCACAACCTAAACCAGTTCAGCCCCACAGATCTCCAACCACAACCTAAACCAGTTCAGCCCCACAGATCTCCAGCCACAACCTGAACCAGTTCAGCCCCACAGATCTCCAGCCACAACCTAAACCAGTTCAGCCCACAGATCTCCAGCCACAACCTAAACCAGTTCAGCCCCACAGATCTCCAGCCACAACCTAAACAAGTTCAGCCCCACAGATCTCCGGCCACAACCTGAACCAGTTCAGCCCCACAGATCTCCAGCCACAACCTAAACCAGTTCAGCCCCACAGATCTCCAGCCACAACCTAAACCAGTTCAGCCCCACAGATCTCCAGCCACAACCTGAACCAGTTCAGCCCCACAGATCTCCAGCCACAACCTAAACCAGTTCAGCCCCACAGATCTCCAGCCACAACCTCCAACCAGTTCAGCCCCACAGATCTCCAGCCACAACCTCCAACCAGTTCAGCCCCACAGATCTCCAGCCTACTGCACCATCCAAACTCTGTTACGGTAGCATGTACATCTCAGGTATCCCATTAGCACCCTACTACCAAAGTGTATTCCCTTTGTAGTGCCCTTTGTTTGACCACAGACCATATGGGTCTTGTCATAAGAAGTGCACTGTCCAGGAGTGTGTGATTTAGAACTGAACCCCTTGGCTGTTCACATCTGTGCCAACCATCATCTGTGCCAGACTGTCATAAGAACGGCTAGATAACAAGGCAGTCAAACCTTTGGCTCATCACTTAGCACAGCATAGTGGGCACATCCAATGACAGAGCACCTACCTGAAAGGCCACTGATGACAGACAGCAAGACGAGTGGTATCCACGGCGACCCCATGCCCCTTCAGTAGTGATGTTTACAGGTGTGATCCGTCATTAAGGCAGCACCTGGAGACAGGAAGACAACAGCATGTCAACGTCCAGTGTAGCTGAGCCGGTCAAGCATGGTGCTTTCAACTCCAGGGTTGTGGGTTTGATTCCCCCAGGGAGGGAATGGTTAGATCAGAACCTCTTGTTTTGTTAGGTTCTGTCTGCCAGTCGCTATTCCGGACTCCACGCCCGTTCTGTCAGACTTCATTAGACTGGGTCATTTCATTAAACAACTGGGCAGTGTGACCTCCTCTATGCCGTGCTGAAGACTGAAATAAAATCAGCGTTAGGGAACATATTTCTACATGCCAGACTTCCTTGCTCCTCTCTTCTCTTGAGCCTCCTACATTTTCTTCTCATCCTCCTCTGATCTCCTTCCCTTCTCCAGAACATATTATCATTGTTTTAATAACAGTATGTGAACCCTGCTAAAAAACAGACATTATATTTGGCACTTCAGTCTGTCTGCATTGAACGAACAGAAACAGTAAAGTGTGTTTATTTTAGTCATGCCTAACTGAACCACTGCCTCCCTGTCCTGCCTGTTCCTATTCATCATCTAACACTTCTTAATTCCACAATAAACCGGATGTCATCAAACAGAAACATACAAACTGTCTGAAAACAAAATAAACAAGGCAATGTGGAAAAACGGAACAAACATATTGCCTGGAAACTTCGTCTCCACTTACTGACACTTTGATATGCGCCAGTGGAACCCAATCATGGAACCTGAAACAAGCCAGACTCTTTCAGAGTGCCTCTAAATACCTTACATTTTAATAACTGACAGCAGAACTTCCCAACCCTCGGCTCTGGCCTCCACAGGCATTAAAAACTGGTTATATTTTTGTCTAAAACTGTCAGATCACATTTAATCAATGCACTCATCATCAAGAAATTACTAATTAAATTAATTAGCCGGTCAGTTTATATCACTTTACCGGTCACCATCAGTCAGTCAGAGAATCAGTTATTACATTTGCCGTTCGGTTTATCTGACGTTACTGGTCAACAGTCAGTCAGTTTCTGACTTCACAGATCAACATCAGTCAGTTAGTCCGTCAGTAATTCAGTCAGCCAGTCAGTTTATCTCACTTGACTGGTCAACATCAGCCAAGCCTCTCTGCCTCTGCCTCTGCACTGCCAGACCTGTCAGCACTCGACTCTGCTTGCTCATTTCACACTGTGTGTGTGTGTGTGTGTGTGTGTGTGTGTGTGTGTGTGTGTGTGTGTGTGTGTGTGTGTGTGTGTGTGTGTGTGTGTGTGTGTGTGTGTTCCACACATTGGATAGACAAGAGGAGCACAACAGAGAAACTCTTTTGGTCACTGCCACAACCACACCACAACCTCTACCCGTGTTTACTGCTTTATGTAGGATAGATCACCAGGCAGTCATTAGGACAATGCAGAGCTTTGATTGTCCAGATATAAAATCAATTCAGCCTTTTATTATTATTATAATTTATAACGATTTGTCTGCCCGCCGGACATAATTGAAGATCCACTTTCTGTGGAACTGAAGTACCGACAAGAGACCAATGATGTTGTAGGGAAATGATGACAAGAGGTTGAACAAATGAAAAGAGAGAAGAAGAGAAAACAGAAGGACCAAAAACTAAGGAAAAGCAATTTTGAGGAGTGAAAAGATGACCAAAAAGAAAGAAAAACTCAGAAGCTCATTTAGAAGAACATGGTTGATGATCTGAACTGTGTAATTTATATTAAGAATTATTTCTTGTTCATTTCACTTGTGTTAATTATTATTGCTTTGACAATAATAAATACTTATTCCAGTGCAACAAAGCATGTTAACATTTTAATGTAGATGGAAAGAAATTTTAAAAAATGAAATTGAGAGAAATGGAGATATTCATTTGAAACTGTGGGTTTCTCCCACTGAGAGCTTCCATATCTATATCTCTGCTGTATTATATAGTCGGATCACATACCGCCCATATTCACTCTCACTTCTGCTGAAACATGAAAATTGAACGAGGTGCAGAGGTGACAGACTGACACGCTGGGCAGCTTTGAAGTGTTAAGAAATCTGATCCACCAACCTCCAGAGACCACACCTACCCATCTGCTCCAGAGACCACACCTACCCACCTCCAGAGACCACACCTACCCACCTCCAGAGACCACACCTACCCACCTCCAGAGACCACATCTACACATCTGCTCCAGAGACCACACCTACCCACCTCCAGAGACCACACCTACCCACCTCCAGAGACCACACATACCCACCTCCAAAGACCACATCTACCCATCTGCTCCAGAGACCACACCTACCCACCTCCAGAGACCACACCTACCAACCTCCAGAGACCACACCTACCCACCTCCAGAGACCACATCTACACATCTGCTCCAGAGACCACACCTACCCACCTCCAGAGACCACACCTACCCACCTCCAAAGACCACATCTACCCATCTGCTCCAGAGACCACACCTACCCACCTCCAGAGACCACACCTACCAACCTCCAGAGACCACACTTACCCACCTCCAGAGACCACACCTACACATCTGCTCCAGAGACCACACCTACACATCTGCTCCAGAGACCACACCTACCCACCTCCAGAGACCCACCTATCTATCTGCTCCCCCCACCTCCAGAGACCACACCTATCTATTTGCTCCACCCACCTCCAGAGACCACACCTATCTATTTGCTCCACAACGAAGTGGAATTATGCCATAACTTTTTTGTAAAAATCTGCATTTGCTGGATATATTTATAGAAGATTAAGTGATAATAGCCTCCTATTCCTGGGTCTTGCAGACCCAACCCTCTTCCCAGAAGCTTCATATCTTTACCCTGCTCTGACACACCTGATCAATTGGTCAGATGCTTGATGAGCAGGTGTGCTAGTTAATGTGGAATATGTGGAGAGGGAAGCCCTGACACAGGTAATACGGTCTCAGAGCATCTCATTAATTAGAAGAGGCAGATCCAGGCATATAATCTCTCCCATGGGGAAGCTCCGACATCTCCACAGCTGAGACCTCCCTAGGACAGCTTTACCCCTTATGAACAGAAATGCTGTCCAAGGGAAGACTTCTATAAAGAGGTCACAGCATTAAACGGATATAATCTATCTAGTCTTTAGAGAATTACTACGCTGTTACAGACATGATCTATCTAGTCTGTAGAGCATTACTACGCTGTTACACATATAATCTATCTAGTCTGTAGAGCCTTACTACGCTGTTACAGACATTATCTATCTAGTCTGTAGAGCCTTACTACGCTGTTACAGACATTATCTATCTAGACTGTAGAGTCTTACTACGCTGTTAAAGACATTATCTATCTAGTCTGTAGAGCCTTACTACGCTGTTATAGACATTATCTATGTAGTCTGTAGAGCCTTACTACGCTCTTACAGACATTATCTATCTAGTCTGTAGAGTCTTACTACGCTGTTACAGACATTATCTATCTAGTCTGTAGAGTCTTACTACGCTGTTACAGACATTATCTATCTAGTCTGTAGAGTCTTACTACGCTGTTACAGACATTATCTATCTAGACTGTAGAGCCTTACTACGCTCTTACAGACATTATCTATCTAGTCTGTAGAGTCTTACTACGCTGTTACAGACATTATCTATCTAGTCTGTAGAGTCTTACTACGCTGTTACAGACATTATCTATCTAGACTGTAGAGTCTTACTACGCTCTTACAGACATTATCTATCTAGACTGTAGAGCCTTACTACGCTGTTACAGACATTATATATCTAGTTGGTACAGTCTAACTATCATCTAGCTCACACAAACTCCTGCATTGTGGGTTAGAACCCAGAACCCACTGCTCACATGACCTCCTGCATTGTGGGTTAGAACCCAGAACCCACTGCTCAGATGACCTCCTGCATTGTGGGTTAGAACCCAGAACCCACTGCTCAGATGACCTCCTGCATTGTGGGTTAGAACCCAGAACCCACTGCTCAGATGACCTCCTGCATTGTGGGTTAGAACCCAGAACCCACTGGTCAATCAGCATCCACATTCATTCCTGCTGTCCTGTCTGATGGAGCGTAGCAATGCCTTGAATACTTTATGGAATTAATGGCTCTATTATTAGCCACGGTTTGATGAATTCGATAAAGCAAATGTGAGGATAATTCTTAGTTTACGAAACTGAGATTGAGGCATACCATCACTACCCAGCATGCTCAGCTACAAGTAGAGCTTCCTATTGGTTTGTGTAAATATCTGTGTTTTTGCATGTACATTGGTTAATTAAAGAGATGCCATGCCACACAGATATACATAACATAGAAAATGGTTTAACACAAATCTAATCTTTTAGTATTTGGACTTGTTGTTACTGAGCTGGCGGTTCTGGTTATTTATATAATGTCACACCACAACATGAAGTGAAAATGAAGGTAATGCTGATTCATTATCAGACTGCAGATTGCTAGTGTTCTTTATGTTTCTGCTGGCTCCCAATTAGAGGCAGCTTTAGAGGCAGCTGGACTGTGGTGTCTCTAAATTAGAGAATTAGAGGCAGCTTTAGAGGCAGCTGGACTGTGTTGTCTCTAAATGGGAAAATTAGAGGAAGCTTTAGAGACAGCTGGACTGTGTTGTCTCTAAATTAGAGAATTAGAGGCAGCTTTAGAGGCAGCTGGACTGTGTTGTTTGTAAATGGGAGAATTAGAGGAAGCTTTAGAGGCAGCTGGACTGTTTTGTCTCTAAATTAGAGAATTAGAGGCAGCTTTAGAGGCAGCTGGACTGTGTTGTCTGTAAATGGGAGAATTAGAAGAAGCTTTAGAGGCAGTTCGACTGTGTTGTCTCTAAATGGGAGTTTAGCATTAATAGCAGTAAATCCTCGGCCCCTGCTTTCAACACAATCCTGACAGGATTAGAGGACAAAGAAAATTACCCAAATGAAAAAAGTATCTTCCACATTTAACCCAACAACTTAGTTCGGACCAGAGGGCTGCAACATTGGCATCCTGAGCAATTAAGATGAACTGCCTTGCTCAAGGTCAGAACAATTACTACAGAGACCATCTACGCGCTACAATATCTATTGGTCCCCTGAGAGCAGAGCCCTGGGTTCAAAACTGACGGAATCATCGTCATCGCCCTT